GGATGCATTCTATCTGGCTCCGGAGTGTGTGGTCTAATGGGGAGTCTGGCAATAGTGTTTTGAGACTTTTTTTCATGACCTCAATTTCCTGAAGTTAAAAATGAAAAAAATATATATATATAATGTGGTAGGCCATGGGTAGGTACACCACATGCCTAGCGACTAAGAAATAGAGCATGCTGTTCTATAACCATGGTGACAGCAGGCAATAACTTATTTTAGTCTTTTCCCCTGCCAAAAAGTAAAAAGCAGCAATACACGATTTCTCTGCTTTTCTGACCTTGCAGATTGCTCAGTCCATGCACCCCACTATGAGTACTGAACATCAGAATCACCTCCATGAAACCTCAGACATGCTGTGCAGAACTGCATCAATGCAATCATTTGTATCCTAGTGTCATTTATCCAGTTTACTGGTCCAGAAGTAAACCACAGTAAGAGCAACTTCAGGCAAGCTGATGTTGTCAGTTTTGTCAGCCCTTTCTCCTAGACCAGTCCTTTATGTTCTTGTCTAATATATTTAGGCTCAAAATTGTGTCATCAAGTCTTTTTGTAATCAATTTCTCCATAAACTTCAGATTAATTAGAATTCTGGAGCTTAAACAGTCTGAGTGAGTCTTTTCGCAATATTACCAGGCTCATAAAAATTTCTAGTTGCACTGCTAACAATAACATTTATGTTCCTTTTAATGAAACAGCACAGATAAAATAGGACAAAGTTTCCTTGCAGTAAGGGACTCGGGTTTCTGCTTCAATGTTAAATTTTTAGACTCTGTGAACTCAGATTTTTATTGCTAAGTTGAAAGTACTTTCTTTAATGTATTAAGTATAAATCAATTTGTTTTTGAAGGAGATATTATGTGTCCCAGAAACTATCCTCAGAAAGCAGGGGAATAATTTAACATAGTCGTCAAGATAGCCCAAGACAACATGCATTAATTACATCAGTCCTTCATCAAGAAAACCAAATAGACAACCTTGGTAAAATCCCAACTATGAAAAGATATTATTCCTAGTGTTAATGGAAATAACTGTAGAAAGTTTGTGATTATAAACTCACAAAGGACAAAAATTTTGTTACTTTCAACAATATTTGCAGCATATCTACTGGAGGTAGGATACTGTAGCTCTTATGAAAGGAGGCAATATATAATGCTTTGAAGTCAAATAGGGAGAAACCTTTGTCAAGGGTATCAACCTAACAGGAAATGGACTCATTCTTCAGGGGCAAGGAACTAAAGCTTTAAGTGTGAGTAAGTGTAAGAGACATGTGTTGTGGTGTCTGCCTTCCCACACCCCTTTTCTCTGGGAGCTACCTGGTAGAAGTTGCAGGCCACCGCAGCCAAATGTATACCATGTGACCTCAGCACCACAGCTCATTGAACTAGGAGTATGCACCAGACTTTAAGCATCCAGTTCTCTGACCATCTAGTAATCAACCATATTCTCTATACTTAAATTAAACTAAGAAGTGATATGGGAAAATACAGTGCTATGTCGGTTGAACTCAATACCCATAGAGGCTGGCCTGGCATAGTCATTTTTAGCGACATGCATACAGACAACTAAGCAGAGAAAGGAGATCTGCAGTGAGAAGCAAAAAGGAAGGAGCAAGCACTTAGAAACAAGCAGAAGCAAAAGGCCAAAACCACACAAAAAGTAGATGAAGAAGTCATTGTTTCTGGCTTCCCAGTTCCTGGTTTCACAAACCCACAAGTATTTCCATGTTTATACCCTTGAGGTTGCCTGTGCAATCCTTAAAATTAATCTCTTTTCACCGAAACTAACTGGAATAGCTTCCTTGCAATAAATATTCCCTGACTATGATGCTCAACCATCTAGGTCTGTCTTTAAAAAAAAATCAGAACAAACTGGCCTATATTTTAAAAGTTTCTTTGGAAATAATTATCCCCCAAAGTGAAGAGGCGGCCTGTCCACCTTCCTAAGTAAGCTCTGTGGTCCCTTCCAAAATAAATGAGCCGGCATAATTAACCGTGTGCAAGAAATAAGCAGCTATTTTGCATTACTTTGCTGATTAAGAAATCAGGGCTAAGAGACTGGTAATACCAAGCAGCTCTTGATGCTTGAGGATCAGCATAACCAAATCAGACTCAATAAAGTAAAATGGAGTTGCAGGCAGCTATCTGGTTTTTAGGTATCATATGTTAATTAGCTTTTCATTCTATCAGGCCAAGAGCTTTATTAAAATAGCGATGGTCCAGTTCTGTCTTCTACTCCTATTGTGACAAGTATATAATCTTTACTAACTGAGTTTTCTATGTTTACTCTCGTGACCTCATTAGGCTTAGATATTGTCAAATGTTGGGGTAGCAAAACAGACTTTTAAATAATGTATTT